ATTAATTAATTAAACTCCAGAATGATCGACTGGGAGTTGAAGTAGCAGATAATAGATTACTTGAACCCAAAACATACAGTCAAAATTGTAGAAGTTTAAAAATGAATTAAATTTTAAATATTATCACTATTTTTGTATTCAATAAATTAGGATAATTAGAAATTTTTTTCAATGAGTAACATTCTGAATCAAATCCATTTAAAATGTTTTAAGGCAGGAGGACGTATCAATAATAAGGCAAAAGAGAGAATATAACCAACAGTCATATTTAATTAATTATCAATCAATGGCATATAATTATACATAATAGGATAAATAAAATCGTGGTCTATCTTCACATTATTAATAAATTATGACATAAATTTTATAATTTTTTTTATTAAAAGAAAGTTAATAAAATAAAGATTTTTTTTTTAGGTTAATAATCGATAATTATACTTAATGTTATATGGTTGCTGAAAAAAATTAAGAAATCGATAGAAATCAATATCTTAAAATTCGTTCTAAGAGTTTTCAAAGGCCTTGATATGTTTTTAAAGATTAGATTATGTTAAAATAATCAACTTAGGCTTTATTGGAGACTACAATTACGATTATTGTGATGATTGTAAAAAAGTAATTAGAGATCTATTAATTTAATATTATTAAAGTTCAATACCTGCAGAGAATGGATATTAAACATCAACTTATTCATATTAATTTCCTATAACAAAGAAATAAAAGGCAAATAAAGATTATAAATTACAATAACTTGGAAATGAATATTCATGGTTGTTAATACAATTACATTATTTTCAATATTCAATATGAACAAAGAATAATAATGAAGAGCCAATACTTTCTATTTTTTCCCTCAATAGATTAAATTAAATTTGTTAATTGGACTATAAATATTTATTTCTCTGGTACTTAATTTTCTTTTTCTTGGGATTATACAAAAAATAATTTAAGAGGATCTATTAATGATATTTAATTTTAACTATTATACAAATCATAAATTGATTCATTTAAACCTTCATGTCATTATTCTTGTTTAACATGATTCTAAATTATCCTGATCAAAGTTTTAGATACTTTCAAAAAAAAAGATAAAACCTGTGCTTTTTAATTAATATATGTTAATAAAGAAGATTTTTAAGAATGCTAATCAGGAACAAAAGCATTCCCATATAGACTAAGAAGTTGAACTAAGTTGTTAGCAATTAGGCTATATCAATTGCAATTAGGAGAATAAAAGCCCATATTATTTTGAAGTATATTCAGGTTCTTAGATAACTTTTAAGTTTGTTTGGTATTACCATATTATTTTTGTATAACATTACTTGTAAAATGAGAGGACAAACTTTTAATTAAATTCAGCTTATTTGGTTTACATTTATAAAAAAAAGGAAAATGATTGTCTATTTTAATAAAATTTTGACAAATTTAAATGGAACTCGTAAACCTAATTTGTGTCAAGGTGGTATTAGGAAAAACCTGCAGAAATGGGTTCTATCGGGAAGATTAAGAATGTTAACCTTGTAGATAGGGTAATTAAACATGTAAAAATTCATTCAAAAGTGAAGTTTGCTTTTCTAATTATTATTTAAGTAAGGACAAATTATGCTTGCTATACAAAAATTGTTTAAGTTGTCACATATATAAAGATGGGACCTATACTTGAACTGTTTGTTTTGGAAATTCTGTTATAATTAGTTAGAAATGTATATTTTGTGGGAATTAAAGAGTCCAGTCAATCAAGATACTCTAATTATTGTCAAGGTTCACCTTCATAATAATATTTATCTATGGATGGAAAGAATAGTAGGCTATGCAATATACATTATTTTGATTATATTATTCTATTGCAAACAAGTTTTGATATCAATGTAAAGTTGTAAATTACAATTTAGATAAGTATTAATGTAGATTGTGATTTTTGCAAAGAGAATTATCATTCATTTATAAAGGCGAGTTGAAATAATAGAATAATGATTGTTAATTTGCCATCATCTAAAATGAAGATTACAAGAAAATCTGTCCAATTAATAAAACAAATTATGATTCTGTTTAAGTGTCTAATTGCTTAATACCAAATTGTATTTTATGTATTCCCCATTACACAGAAAATGATTTCTTCTATATTCAAAGTTAGGATGGATATTTTTCAAAAGTCCTTTCTGGTTAAATTATTTAGTGTGGTCAAACTTGCAAGACTTGCATTTAATAAAATAAAAAATATAGAGATTATTGGAAATGGAGTATTAGAGCATTTTATTAATTTGTTATTAATAATAATAATGACCATCCATTTGAAAAATATGCATCAAGGAATTCTGAATCAGATTTGAATTTATTTTGCACATCATGTCGCTATGGATTAATTTTATATGATTAAAAATGCATGTCATAATGTGATAAATTTTGTAATAAATATGAAATCATTGATGAAAAAGCAACATTTATCTAATGTTTAGAAACTATTTCTGGGTTTATGAAAAGTTAAAATGAAAATGGAAGTGTTTTGCAATGTCCTTCTAATTGGAAAGTCTGTATGTATAGGGGTGAATCAGAAGTAAAAGAAGTTAATCCCTATTTTATTTCAAAGAATTAAAATAATTTTTAGACTAGAATATGTTATGAAAAATCACAAGCTAGTAAAAAATAAGAAAATTATTATTATTCTTATTTATTTCCATAAATTTAGTAGGTTGTAACAAATATGAACAATGTTATAATAAAATTATTTACATTAAAACCTAGAGGAACTTCTACTTATTATGAATAATAATAATTATCAAATGACGAATATTTTGAAAGCATGAATGTATTTTTTTGTCAGCTATTTTGGTTATGGATATAAAAAAGTTTAGAGACATCTTAACTTTTTGATTATTTAAATTTCTGTAAGTCACATTTACTTCAAATATACCATAATTAAAAGGAAAATCCTAGATCATTAAAATTATCTATTAATGAAGGTCAAACATTGCTAGAAAAGAAATATTGATATATAAAGAGATTTTTTAACAAATATTATTAATCCATAAAAGATATTAGGTTCCACTTAGAAAAATTATTAATTAATATTACCTTCTGGTATAAAAATAGAAATTACTAGGTATATTGATTCTATCAAATCAAAATTTATTCCTTATAATTTATATTTAGGAATATTACTTTTGAAAAAGTTTTAGGAATAAATTATGCGGTTGTAAGATTCCTATTGAAATTTATATCCAAAAGCTTATTATTTAATTTCTTAAAAAGATTAAAATGATGCTTAATTTAGTCGATTCTAAGATGATGTTATATTTAATAAAACTACTGGTGATTATAATTTAGATAATCTAATTGTTTTCTTCAATCCTACTTATAATCAAGATATAGTTCTTCTATTGTTAATTGAATTCAATAGTGTTTCATTCCCTTAATCAGAAGAGAGTCATCCTTTTTTAACTTATAATTATGTCACAAATTATTAATTACATGCGGACTTAAAAACATTTTCTTTTAAATTAGGTGGATTCTTCAATCAATCTTTAGGTGGATGTGTTTTTTATGATACATTTAACATCATATTAAATGTCTTCGGCAGCTCAAACTTGTAGTTATAAAGATGATTCTAAAAATAAAATCTTAGGAATCAAGTATGATAGAATTAAGCGAGCATTATTGGAGAGCATATTATTATAGTTTAATTATTGAGCATTGTTAAAATTGGGAGGAGAATTGCAAAAGTGGTTGGAAACCTGGAGATGAATCGTGCATGATAGACAGTATTGGAGCTTTATGTGAGGAGTGTGATTTATATAATTCAAGAGGAAGTGGATCTTATTCTGCAACTTCAGCTTATTCATATAGATAGTTGTGATTTAATAGCTTATAATATTATCAAAATGATATTTATAAGTCTTAGGACTTTGATTACAACTTTAATGTCGGTAAGTAGTACTAGAGAAATGATTGATGAATTTGTTAAAGGTATAAGCTTGAAGACTTTTGGATTTAGAGTAGCAATAAAAGAAGTCCTAACTGCTATTCTTATCAAAGTATTAATCTCTTCAAATAATTTCAATTATTTCTACCTTTTAATTACAAGTACCAGCAGGATTAGCCTCAGTTTTCAATACTGTTGATAATCATATTCAATCACTTGCTAATACTTTAGATTACTTCTTATTTAATATCACATATATTGATAATATACTTTCGAATAATTTGGCTTAATTATGACTTCTTAATATATAATATTTATTTTTACTATAGTTGCAATTCAATAATTACTAAAACACGACTTAATTTTTCTTATATATCTACATCTTTATTGATTTATTCATATTGTTATAGCCAAATTAAATAGGAGGAATAATTTCACTATGAATATTGAATTTAAGGGAATGTGGTCTATAAGTATGATACAATTAAACATGCTAAATGGATTATCAAATTTTGCTTATCATTATTAACTACATTCGGTTGCATACTTCCTTGCTTTTTGTGATATGGAGTCTTTAAAAATAAAATCGTCTAGATTTTTCTAAAGTAAGAAAAGCATGAGGATATTTGTATAATGAGTACAGGATTCATGTTTATTTCTGGGTAACACTAAACATAAAGCGAGAAGAAATCATTACGAAATGAATTTAGAAATCTGAGGAAGCTTAACAAAATTAACTGATTATAAAGTTGATAACTACCAAGTTTACCGGTTTTAAAGAAACATATTATTTATTCGCTAAAAAAAGAGATATAAAAGTAAAACCTTTTGCAATTAAATATACCCTCAATTATGTATAGGGTATATGAAGACATAATGCTACGTTCTTCAAAATAATAATTAAAGATTTGCTATTCGATCATTTCATCATTACTATCAATGAACTAATATCATTAATAGTACAAAGTATATTGTAATGAAATGTAGAAGAAAGATTTTCATTTATTAACACATCACATTGTTAGATTAGAATGGTAAAGGAGGATCTAAATTTTCGAGGTTAAAAAATCGGATTGAATTTTTTACAATGGTATATTCTGAATTGAGTATCACTTTTATTGATTACGTTTAATAATCAATAATATAAATATATCAACGAATTAGGCTATTCACTACTATTTTTGATTATATAAAATAACTATCTTGGAATATATGTTATGGAATAATTTGATCAGCTGATAAAATTGTATATTCATTAAAAAAAATTTCAAAGCTTTTCAAACTATTTTAAATTTTCTGTATGTTCGTATTAGAGCAGAAAGAAAATTTAAACAAGAGAAAGAGTTAATAGAGCAACCATCTAAAAGTTAATTTAAAAGAAAATTAAGATTGGGGAATTAATTTTAAGCAATAACCTGATAAAAATTGATTGATACATGTTTTGAAAACTTTAAAGTCGAATTCGCAATCCTTTTGTGACATTTAAGCTTAGAGATGATTTTTATGAGCTTGATCTTACATCAGTGAAAGGAGTAATAAGAAGTTTTTTCAGAATTTCAAATGTTGAGAAAAATAAAAAAAAACAGCCTCATTAAAGAGATTTAAAAAGAAGTTGAAGTTTTAGATCAAACAATTCAACATTGGCTTTTTTGATATTCCTTACTTATGTTATTTTGCAAAATACATCCCATCAATTTTCTTAAAACCAATAAAATCTGAAAATAATTTAAAGTTTCTATTCAAGATTATACCTTATGAATTTTATATAAATATATACGAAATGCTATATGAACCCAATAATCACTAAAAAATTTATTTTTCTTCTTAATCATATTCCAAATGACTTTATTTTAATCGGATCATTTCTATTAAATACCTCCTTTATTTCAATGAGCACAGGCCTGTATACTACGTAGCCATGATTTTTCCCTTTACTTATATCCTTTATTTTAGGTTTGATTGGCTCTTTCTGTAAAATATTTTCTCTAAGTACAATTACTTCTCTTTCGGTTCTTTGTAATTTTTTTTTTTTAGAGCCTTATTTTGATTTCATATTACAACTAGATTAATTTTTGTTTTCTTCAATTTTTTCCCTTTCATATGAATTCTATATTTCCAATTCCTACTGAATAATACTTACTTCATCGCGATTGTCGCTATTCATTAAATCATCCATATAATTTGGTTTTCCAAACTTTATTGAAATGATTAAAGAGTATTTAGCTTTCCAATTAAAATTAATTAAGAATTTTAATTATTTTTAAATAAAGATTTTTCTTTACTATCTTGTGTGAGGGATTAAAAGCGATTATACTAATTGTTCTAAGAAATTTTTTGGCTTATACTTTTCACTCTTATCTGATTTCTTAATACGAAAATTTCTTCTTGGCATTTTACTTGATTGTGACCCTGAAATCAAACTATTGTTCTTATGATAGATTTATTATATACTTCTATTTCGATCAGCAATATTTTTCTACAGTGATTCCTAAACGAGGTAAAATAAAGCAAACGACTCATATTAAATATTCTCTTTCAATAAGTTGTCCAATAAATTTTTGAAAATAGATTCTACAATTTTTCAAAAAAGGTCCTTATGACCATTCTTTTTTAAAGTATTCCTTATTTTCTTTTATATACGAATCAATTTGATCATTATTTTAGACAAGCCAAAATCTTTAATCCAAAATAAAAAAATCCAATTTCTTTTCTTGAGTGATAACTTTTCTAGTTTATAAACTACTAAATTATTTTATACTTTTTTGGATCATCTGTAAAATGAAGTATAAATTTATGAAAATTGCTTATAGTATTTACTTGTTAATTTAGAAAGCTAAGGATTTTGCTAAAATAAAAGATGAGACATATATCGATATAAAATATCATCTTTGTAAATTTCTGGAATTGGGATGGGCATATGCTGATAGAATTAAGAAATAAAGAAGAGAGTGTTTACAATCAAAAGTTGGAACTAAAATTTAAGATGAATAACTTTATATGAACAGAACCGTTTATAAATTTCTATTTTTCCAGGATCTCCTGTGTTAAAAATGTGAAAGACTAATTCGTTTTCTAAAGCTATTCTTTCTTTCTTTTCAGAATTTTTATTACAAAATTTATGCGCGTCATCAATGATGCTTACTTGGGGAGCTAGTCGCTCAGACACATAATATAATTTGTTAGAAATGATTACATCAGATCTGAAATATATAATATAATTTAACGAACAACCATTCAGATTCTTGGCAAAATGTTTGGAGGATCCCTTGATAAGGATACGATATGCTAATATCATCTTTGTAATTAACAAAAGAAAATAATCCAAGCATGGCTTTTCATGGATTGTATGTTGTAGAAAATCATTTAAAGTGAGACAAAATCATGGCGCTATGAAATTCAGGTACACCCAAAGAGAATAAGTAAGGATACTTTTTCTTTAAATCTATCCTTTTGTTTCAAAATTTTTAATTATATATGGAAAATTTCTAAGGGGCTTGAACTTAAAATTTAACATCAATAAATGATCCATAATTTAGTAAAATTAAGTAAGTGGAAGAATATGCTAGATAAGATTAATTAATAAAGAATATAGAAGGATTAGGGATGAGAAATAAAAAAATTTTTTTAACTACTTGACATATCAGATAAAATATTAAAAAAATACTGTAATAGCTTAGAATATGCATAAAAATAATCTGATATACAAATCAAAATTCTTTCAAATACATAATTATTTTCCATTAGATATTTTTTTCTGTTAAAAATATTTAACAAGTTGGAAAACAAGATCATAATTAATAAAAAAGAGTAAATACCTTATATTTACTCATTATGAGAAAAGATATAAATTATCAATTTAATTCTAGCTTTTAGGTTCATTCGATTTCTCCCGTCTCATAAATATTCTACAAAGCAAAATAATTTCTTAACTTAGTTAAATTTTCGAAAGAATAGACAAGAGATTCATATTGAATACTTTTAATTTTAAGTATTTTTAAGAAATTCATTAATTAGAAGTTTATAATATAATAGCCTAACATAAAAATTGCATTAGATTTATACTTAAAAGCGACCCAAAATATATTTCATTTTAGATTATTTATTTTTTATGTACTCGATAACTTTATAATTAGATTGATTGATAAATAGAATTAAATTTTGTTAAATTTTAATAATGAATACAAAATTATCATCATTAGCCAAGATCTGATCAAAAATTTAGAATTATATTCTTTATTTTTTCTGGTTATTTTCTTGCATACAAGCCCTTTAAAATAAACTACAATTTTATTAACAATTATTTGAAAAGTACAATAATCAAATTTAATAATAGAAGGCCCATATGTATGAATCCTGTACTTTTGATAGTTTCATTAGAAAAGTATATCCTATTTATATCATTATAAGGAAAGCAGGTTAAGCTAAACAAAGCTATAGTTCCTTCATTTAGTATTGAAATTATTTTATCCAATATCGAACTTTATTCATATTTGCTAATAATCAAGCATTAAGATAGGCTGATAATTGATAAACATAAAAATTACAAGGTAGGGCATTCTTAAAAAAAAATCAAAACAAAATGGTATATAAATTTTCTACACAAATCCAAGGATAAAAATATTCTTGATTCAAAATCATAATTATTCTCTAACTTCCCCTTTTTCCTTAAAAATTCAATCATATAAGAACCATAAGTATATATAAATAGAAAACTACATATCAGTTGAATATATTCCCTAGCTTCTTTAAATTAAGTATAGCGAATTTATAATATCGATTTGAAAAGTATATCCCAAGCATTTAATGAGAAGAAAATTTTTATATAGTTAGAGTTTAAACTTCTTCTTAAATTTATCAAATTCTTCATCTAAATTCTCAAAGTATTTAATATTGTTAAAAATGATTTTATTAAGAATTATGATTTAGAATTAAAGTAGTCATAGATCTATTATTTGGACAGAATCAAATGAAATAACCTATAGATGAATCTGCTCAAAAACAAAAGTAGTACAATACCTGAACATTAAAAAACCTAAGGAAGTAAACTTATAATCAAATCAGGATCTACATCATAAAGTTCAAATTTTCCGTTCACTTAAAGAGGTTCTGTTTTCTGTGATATGAAATTATAATAGTAATCCAAATTTAATTAACTAAAATATGAACTAACACTTAACATGTCAGAAGCCTCAAAATAAATGTAAAGATTTTCAGGGTAATCAACATTAATAAATTTCAAGAAAGATTATTATTATAATACATTAAGTGTTTCTAAAATGAATGAAGAATCTCCTGCAAATAATGAAACCAAACTAACTGAGATAGCTCCATACATGAATACTTTATTAGTATTTTGCATAAATTAAGATGTTTATTTTTATTCATTAGATAAGATTTAAGGGTAATTTAATTTGATAGAGGCAAATTTATTTTAAAGGGTTTAGTTATTAGAATTAATGACATCTGAAGAGCAAAATATTTGCAAGAATGGTTTTTCATTTATTGAAGCTAAATTTTCAATTTCAACTATGTAAGAAGCAAAATTTATTTCATAATTTATTGGTTATTTTTAATGCAATGTAATAATATAATCTTCTTACTTTAAATTAGTAAAATTGAATTGAAATTTTAATTCTTCTTCATCAAATTTCAATTTAACTTGTTAATCGAAGAAGATCTGCACATATTATCTTGAAAAAGTCTGGTTAATTAAGATTACTTACAGAATAGGGGCTGGTGAAAAAACACATTCTGTAAGACGACATATGTAATAGTTTTCATCCATTTCAATCATTGATACATTTAAAGAAGAGTCTGATAATTTATCTTAAATACATTAATCTTTTAACTCATCATAAGAATATCCTATATTGCATTCAAAACAATTTCCTTTCTCACAAATTTAGCAATTATCAATACATTTTTTCGGCATACAAATATCACCAACATAAATCATTCCTTCAGGACATTCATCTAAGCAAACCCCTTGACTACATAATTTACAATTTTGTCTACATTAAAATTTGCATTCATAACAACCATCATAAGGTTCATCATTTAAATCTTCACAATCCTCAAATTCTTAAATAATGATACCATCTCCACATATAGGAACACAATAAGACTTATTGGTTTCAAAGCCTTCTTCACATTTAAGACATAGTATTTAATTACAATCAAGACAATTAGATAGACATTCATATTTGCATTTATAACAACCATCAAGAGAATTGAAATTACCATCATCACACTATTCTATTGAAAATGGAACTACAAAATTATCACCACAAAGTGGATCACATAAATGATTTTAATTCAAAATAAAACCATCTTAGCAAGTCTAGCAGATACCTTAAAAACAATCATAACAATTTGTATCACAAGAGAATTTACAATAAAAACAGCCATCAAACTATTTTGTATTTCTATCATCACATTCTTCATAAATTTAAACAATTCCATCTCCACATTTTGGTTCAATGTCACTCTTATATGCAACTTTATCAATTTTTGATATAATGCATTCATTATTAAATAAATAAGTTCCTTCATTACAGAGATAACATATTTTATTAACACAGTAAATGCAATTTTAATTACATTCTTAAAATTATTTGCAAATTTATGATTATTATTAGTTGAAATCAGTGCAACGCTCAATTGGAAGATTTGACCCATCTCCCTCNATTTTCTACACAAATCCAAGGATAAAAATATTCTTGATTCAAAATCATAATTATTCTCTAACTTCCCCTTTTTCCTTAAAAATTCAATCATATAAGAACCATAAGTATATATAAATAGAAAACTACATATCAGTTGAATATATTCCCTAGCTTCTTTAAATTAAGTATAGCGAATTTATAATATCGATTTGAAAAGTATATCCCAAGCATTTAATGAGAAGAAAATTTTTATATAGTTAGAGTTTAAACTTCTTCTTAAATTTATCAAATTCTTCATCTAAATTCTCAAAGTATTTAATATTGTTAAAAATGATTTTATTAAGAATTATGATTTAGAATTAAAGTAGTCATAGATCTATTATTTGGACAGAATCAAATGAAATAACCTATAGATGAATCTGCTCAAAAACAAAAGTAGTACAATACCTGAACATTAAAAAACCTAAGGAAGTAAACTTATAATCAAATCAGGATCTACATCATAAAGTTCAAATTTTCCGTTCACTTAAAGAGGTTCTGTTTTCTGTGATATGAAATTATAATAGTAATCCAAATTTAATTAACTAAAATATGAACTAACACTTAACATGTCAGAAGCCTCAAAATAAATGTAAAGATTTTCAGGGTAATCAACATTAATAAATTTCAAGAAAGATTATTATTATAATACATTAAGTGTTTCTAAAATGAATGAAGAATCTCCTGCAAATAATGAAACCAAACTAACTGAGATAGCTCCATACATGAATACTTTATTAGTATTTTGCATAAATTAAGATGTTTATTTTTATTCATTAGATAAGATTTAAGGGTAATTTAATTTGATAGAGGCAAATTTATTTTAAAGGGTTTAGTTATTAGAATTAATGACATCTGAAGAGCAAAATATTTGCAAGAATGGTTTTTCATTTATTGAAGCTAAATTTTCAATTTCAACTATGTAAGAAGCAAAATTTATTTCATAATTTATTGGTTATTTTTAATGCAATGTAATAATATAATCTTCTTACTTTAAATTAGTAAAATTGAATTGAAATTTTAATTCTTCTTCATCAAATTTCAATTTAACTTGTTAATCGAAGAAGATCTGCACATATTATCTTGAAAAAGTCTGGTTAATTAAGATTACTTACAGAATAGGGGCTGGTGAAAAAACACATTCTGTAAGACGACATATGTAATAGTTTTCATCCATTTCAATCATTGATACATTTAAAGAAGAGTCTGATAATTTATCTTAAATACATTAATCTTTTAACTCATCATAAGAATATCCTATATTGCATTCAAAACAATTTCCTTTCTCACAAATTTAGCAATTATCAATACATTTTTTCGGCATACAAATATCACCAACATAAATCATTCCTTCAGGACATTCATCTAAGCAAACCCCTTGACTACATAATTTACAATTTTGTCTACATTAAAATTTGCATTCATAACAACCATCATAAGGTTCATCATTTAAATCTTCACAATCCTCAAATTCTTAAATAATGATACCATCTCCACATATAGGAACACAATAAGACTTATTGGTTTCAAAGCCTTCTTCACATTTAAGACATAGTATTTAATTACAATCAAGACAATTAGATAGACATTCATATTTGCATTTATAACAACCATCAAGAGAATTGAAATTACCATCATCACACTATTCTATTGAAAATGGAACTACAAAATTATCACCACAAAGTGGATCACATAAATGATTTTAATTCAAAATAAAACCATCTTAGCAAGTCTAGCAGATACCTTAAAAACAATCATAACAATTTGTATCACAAGAGAATTTACAATAAAAACAGCCATCAAACTATTTTGTATTTCTATCATCACATTCTTCATAAATTTAAACAATTCCATCTCCACATTTTGGTTCAATGTCACTCTTATATGCAACTTTATCAATTTTTGATATAATGCATTCATTATTAAATAAATAAGTTCCTTCATTACAGAGATAACATATTTTATTAACACAGTAAATGCAATTTTAATTACATTCTTAAAATTATTTGCAAATTTATGATTATTATTAGTTGAAATCAGTGCAACGCTCAATTGGAAGATTTGACCCATCTCCCTCAAGACAATATGTTCCGTAATAACCATACTCACATTGTTGACATTTTTAATTTAAACATATATTGCAATGACCTATACATTAGTTTTCTAAATAGTAATCTAAGATGCAAATTCCAGTTATAGAGTCAAGATTTCCATGTTCACACAATATGCATTGATTATTTTAAATTATTCGACAATCGTAATTCTGAGTAATTGATAATTATTCCATTTAACGACATTATTGGAGAGAATCAAATACAAAATTAGAAATGCATTTAATACAATTTCCTCTCTCGCAAATTTCACAATTCTTCTAACATTAATATTAACATTCGTAGCATCCATCATACTCATATATATTACCATCGTCACATTATTCATTTCCTACTATTAATGAATCACCACAGTTTGAAACACAAGAAAAGTCAACAATTAAATACCCTATTTAGCATTGAATACATTATGTATCAAAACAAAGTAAACAATCAGTATTACAATTTAACTCTTAAAGATTAAAATATGAATCTGAATCATTATTATCTATGTTGATTTAAATTATCTCATCTTCAACTATTTAAATTTATTAGCCGTTTGATGTTTTATTTAATGATAACCAAATTTAAAAAAATTGTGAATCAATTAAATCAAAATCATATCCAAAAAGAAATTACAAGCGATTAGATATTTCATCAGAATCTAAAGATTGTTGATTGTTCCTTTATATTTCAATTGATTATAAATTTCTACAAGTAATATCAAATAATGAAAAATCAGAAATAAAGTACAAAGAGCATTCATTTTCTGGATAACAAGTATTCTAATATAAATAGTATGATTCCTTGCATTCATAGCATTATCCAAATTTACAAATGACACAGCTGTCTTAACAAGATGGTATGCACTCACCTTATAAATTTAACACATATTATTCATAACATTATATACATAAACCCTAAATATGTTCTTTACATTCCAATTGTGATCTAATTAATTTCTCAACTTTGTGACATTATCCATTCCAAATATTAAATGAATCTTTACATTATAAGCAAAATCCATTTTTACAATCCAAACAATCTTCACTACACTAAAACTTACAATCAATTTTTGATTGTATTTAGTATTTTTCATTATAAATTAATATGCCATCTCCACCATCTCCACATGATAATTTACATAACTTTTCAAGTTCATCAAAATAATAACCATCATCACAATTTATGCATACATTATTTATAGATTTTTAGCAATATTAAGGATGAATATATTTGCAATTAAAGCAATATTGTTCATTCAATTCACATTATTCATCTTATGTTAAAATACCATCACCACATTCCGATTTGCATTATTGTTATTCATTTAAATAATATCCTTTTACACAGCTTATACAAGATTCTTCATTGCATATCTCACAATTAATCAAACAAAATTTACAAGAAGAATTCTATAAATTAATATAATTATTGACATCATTCTATCCGAAGTTGCTGTGTTTCATAATCCAATTCTTATGTGATTACAAGCAATCAAAATCATTGGAATATTTATATTATTCAAAAGAATTAATAATAGGATGACATCTTGACTATATTAATTCATAGCCTTCTTCACAATCAAGGCAAACTCCTTTAATACAAAATAGACAAGATTTTTGGCAATTCAATTAGCAGAAGTGGCAACCATCATCAGGAATTAAATTACCATCATCGCACTCCTTATCATATGAAAATAGAAATTCGCCACATTTAGAATAACATAGAAAGTCAATAAATTTGTACCCGTCATTGCATTGTAAACATCCTCTTCCTCTAGTATCACAATTAGAACAAGAATCTTAACATTTAGGTCTACAATTTTGGCATCCTCTATATGGTAACACATGTGAGTCTTCGCAGTATTCATTTTAGGCTTTTATATTATCACCACAAATTGGTTAACAAATATTATTAGTTGAAAGAGTTTGTCCAGAAATACAAGCTTAGCATTTTTTATTCACACAACTAGTACATTCTAATGGTTGACATTCAAATTTGCCATAAACCCCGCCACACGATCCACAATAAGAATAACAATTATCACAACTATTTGGATAATCAGCTCTTTCATAAAAGAATCCATATGGATCCCATACAAGCAATCCATCATTTAGGATAGGTTCACAAAAATAATCAGAAGGCTAAAATCCTTCAAATTCACAACTCAAGCATTTTCTCTGTTCATAATCACAAAAAGAGCATCCAATTCTACATAAAAATTTGCAATTATGACACCCATCAAAGTCATAGAAATTAGCATCATCGCATTCTTCAATTCCAACTCTTAAACCATCTCCACAAACTTCCTTACAAAGCCAAGGTTCAGATGAGACATCAATTTACCATCCTAAAGTAGCACATTCAGAACATTTACCCTTAATACATTTAGTACATTAAGTCTAACATTAATATTTACAATCAAAACATCCATCAAATTAGATGTCATTTCCATCCTCACACTCTTCATCACCTGTAATTAATCCATCTCCACAAATATCTGGACAAGGTAGTATAGTGTTTATGTCACAAGTTAAACAGTTAATTGGACATTAGAATTAACAATTATAACATTTATCATCTAAAATATTATTGCCATCATCACATTACTCATATCCAACAACTAACAGATCTCCACAAATTGGAACACATTCATTAGATATTAAATTAAATCCTTATCCACAAGTATTACAATTATTCGTATTCCATATTAGATCACCATTATCACAATATTTATAACATTCTAAAAGTGATACATCAATATTATTAGGACATTAAATACAAATATTATTTTATGTGTAGAATCCTGTTGTGCATGTACACTTTAATCCTTATAATTATCTATTTTATTATGAATCGCAAGTTAAACAGCCATCAATACTGTCATTAAAACAAGTTAAGCAAGTTGAATGACAAAATGTACATGTATTGTATGAATTTTAATAAAAAGTATTGGTTGGACATTTACAAGTAGATTCTATTAATTAGATATTCAACACTTCAATATTGCAAGTTAAGCAATCATTAGAAGTTGGACCAAAACAAGTACCACAAAATTTATCACATAATGAGCATATAATATCTTAATCTTTTTAATAATAACCATCTATGCAAATACATTATCCATTTTATAATTTACGATTATTTATAGATAAACATTCAGTACAATAAGATGAACTTGAACATTAATTACATTCAATTGGACAATTAACACATTAATTGGATTCTTCAATTTGATTTAGTTTACAAAAACATCCTACATTAGTTAAAGTATAAGTAGGATTTATACAAGTCAAACAAACCGTTTTAGATTTACAAGTTGAACAACTGGGTTCACAATTAACACACAATAATTAGTAGACATCAAAATACTAATTTGTTTAACATTCGTCTTAAGAAAATTAAATTAAAGAGGGATTATAAGTACTATTCCAATTAGTACAAGTTTTTTCATCAGTACATTATAAACAAAAAGGTTAACAATAATGAATAGCTAAGTAATAATTATAAAATCCACAATAGGCTTATTGTACCTCATTGTTTTCTCCAAAGCATTCTAACTCTAATATTAAATCATTTAAAGAATGATTTATTTTATTTCTAATGATCTATTATTTTGTGCCATTTTAGAAAGTAACTGCATTCAGTGTGGATGTGTATAATGGATCCTATTAATCAATTTAATAGATGAACTTTCCATCTGAAGGGAATAATGGACCAAAAAATACATAGAAACCTATTGAAATACTATGATGAGGACCTAAGTTTTGATGAACTCTTCTAAATCTTGCTTATGCCCAAATGAACTAACCACCAAATATTCTTAATCCTCTCAAATATGAAAAATATATATCAGGTCCTTTTAAAAAATTTTAACCTCTTTAAGAAACTAAAGTGTATTCAGGGTAATAATCTAATTCAAATTGATTCACATCTTCTCTTATCAATAGTGATGAATCTATATTTAATTAATTCATTACATGGAGTTTCATCATCTAAATCCTTACAATAACCCGAAATTATATTCTAATGGGGTTGATTACAAGTCGAAATACATGTTCCATCTCTATATCTAAAAGTTGATGATGAACATTAAGTGCATTTGAAATTTACATCGCAAGAAATACAATCATTTGTACATCTCTATGTTCTAAACCAAATTGATTAAAATGCCCAACCAAATGATGTGTCACTAAGAATTCATATATAAAATATTTACCTATAATTACCAATAGCTGAAAACAAAATTTTATATTTAGGCAAGTCAAAAACACCATCAATAATATATTTATAGGAACTGGAATAAGATTCATAAGGACCTAGAGAAGTCTCTTAAAATTCCTTAAATTTGTGCAATTAAATTCCAGAACTATTCTTATATATGGAACCAACAAGAGTATTGTTAAATTTGAATTAAATTCCACAATCCATTGGAAACCCATTGAAAATGATTATCGTAATTTTTACTTTCATATAATATCCCCATTAATTTGATATTGAAACTTATCTCATAATTCCTGAGCTTTGCTTAAATATTCCATATATGAAGATTTTATAACCATTTTCTGTATAATAATGAAACACATCTACAGAATTGTCAATGAATTTTGGGTCATAGATTTTAGACCATTATAAAAAATCTTTATAACTATTAGGATCATTAGATATTTTTTCATTGACTCTAACTTATCCTATTCCAAAATTACCTAAACAAAATAACTTAAATATACTTGGACAAGCATTGCAAAATCCATTAAAACATAATGGTTAAATAGAATCGCATTTCAATCTACACCCAACATTTTTAACATAGTATTAATCTGATGGACATGGCGGACAAACATTGTTCGTTGGTGTTCCAAAGTAACATGCAGTACATTCATTTTATTTAGGTCCTGTACATGACTTGCATGAAGGATAACAAATGATTTCGTAATACATTTAATATATGTTCCTAATTGAAACCTAGCCATTTTCATTTGTATTTTCGATTCCAAATAAAAAATCACCATTTACATTATAAGGTATTGTAAAATTAACTGTCCTGATATCATAAGCAATTTCATCACAAAATTAACTATTAAGTGCATATGTAGAGGGTGAATTATATAGATACTCTCCTGTAAATGAATCGATTGAAAATGTCACCTTTCCATTAGTCCAAGTACCTTAAAAATATAAATCGAATGATAAAAACCCCTTATAAAAAGAGCTTTAATAGTGATCATAATAATAAGATGAGCTATAAGAATATTATCTAATTTCACAATAATACTATTAAACTTATGGATATTAAGAATTCAATGTTATATAGCTTGTTTCTGGATTTGTGCAACTAATAAAATTAGCTGTCCTATCAAATTATGTTGGAATCATAAATGATGAAGTAAAATGAACGAAAGAGTAATTCATTTAATCTGTTCTATAACTTTCTTGAAAATTAACATTCGAAAACAAATATTAATATCTTATTCTCCATTAAGCATCTATGATGTTAAAGTAACCTATGAATAACCCTAATAAAAACATTTATTATTATAATAATTCTTACAAATCTCTAATTAAATATGATGAATTTTAGTTGATATAAAGCGAAAAAATGTGCAAAGTAATAAATAATGTATTTTGCATTCCCTAATTCAAACAAAAATTAATATCACTTATGATGTCACCTCAATTTTAAGAAAAATATAAAGCATTATTATCTCATAATAAAATAATGTAAATCCACCCACTACAAGAGTATTGTAAATCATGTAATTAAAATTTTTGTTTATTATGATATATATAGATAAGATAAATATTTATGAAATTTATTCAAAAATGGTAACTTTATCAAGATACTTGAAATTTGGATTTCTTTTTGACTATGAAAAATAAGCGTAATCCTTTTCATCACCTTCTTTTTATAGTTGATTTTATATAAAATTAATGGTGTAAATCAAATGAAAATTAGAAGCTCCATTCTAATATGATTTCCTTAATAAATAGATGTCTAATAATTAAAGAACATTAATTAAGCAGACATGCTTTAAATATCCTAAAAAATTACAAAAATGTTTATTTTATCATAAGGAATAATTTAATTCATAACAAAAAACTAGTAATCCTATTTTTTAATGTGGTGCTATGAAAATTTTTAACTAATTATTTGTTTACATCATTTGCAAATTGATTTAGTCATATTTATCTAATAAGTAATGAAATATAAATAGCGGAAAGTAAAGGCTTATATATTACATACTTATCTCTTATTAAATTAAGAAAATCATTAATTTTTAATAATCCTCACTAAATAGCTTGATATTTAAAGAAGTAAATTATAATGTTTATAAATTTTGAATATTTTCTTGACAAATAATCTCGAACTACCCATTTTCATAATCCTTTATCTCATCAAAAATTCCACATAATAAAAAACAGTTCACAAGAATTTCTTTAGAAAAAATTAAATAAAAATTATATAATTTATACCTGGAAAGCCCAAGTGAATCAAAAAAAATTTTTTATGCTTAATATTAAGACATTTTATGTATATAAAGCAATATATACACACTAATGCGAGTAGCTCTAAACTATTTATTAATTGACATTAGATTTAAAATTTATGAGATTATACTTTGATCAAATTCATTAATGCTTAATAATTAGAATTATTTAAAAATTAATTTTTTAATTTGAAAAGAAAAGAGTAATTGTAACTTTCAAGTGTAGAATTTATTGAAATTCTAATTTTTCAAGCTTTATATACAAATTCTTTGAGATAAAAATACGAAATATATAGTTAGTGTGATAAGAATATTTTAATTAATTGTTAGGATATTAGGACATACCAAATATAATGGAGTGAAATATTATATAATTATAATATAGTATTCATTAATAATAATTTATATTATTTTTAACAAATTATTAAATTTCCTCTTACTAAGTTAATTATCTAATCTGAATTGATTTTGATAACCAATCACTTATTATTAAATATTAACCATCCTCACTTAAGGTTCCCAATATCCAATTATGTCCATAATCAATGCTTTATTTCAAATTGCATTTCCAGCCAGAATAAGAGAATGTGAATTATAATACATTAACTTTATGTCCATTCTTGCATATTAATATATTTTTTAAGGAACTTAAAGAGAGGGAAAATAAAACCAGCAAGGATCTTTTTCTCCTTAAACAGAGATTTCTCTTGATTTGATATATTCTTCCTGTCCAAAATTTTATTGATTTGTCATTAGATCCGCTTATAATTAATTTATTTCAAAAAGGATGTAATACTAAAAAAGTTATTTGATCTGTATATCCTTTTAATCTAGCTAAATACTTGAAATTAGGAATTATAATTAAAGACCAGAAAATAATTGAACCATCATGGGAAGCAGAAATTAAACCTGATTGTTGCTTAAAGACATTTAGAGTAGTAATCTTACTTGAATGTAATTTAACTTATTATAGTTTTTTCAATCCATTTTTAAATTAGAACACTAAAATAGTTATTTCATCTGAAACAAATAACATTGTATTTGTATAATTAATTGTTAAAACAGTATTATGTCTATGTTATTTGTATGAGAACTCTGGAATGAGTTTATAATTATAGCGCTATCTAATTTAATTTAAGAATTTATTACTTATTTTTGTGCCATCTTTTTGGTAAATAAAAAAGAAATAATTCAATTTTATGATATATTCAAGATATATAATTAAACAACTAATCAATTTTTTAAATTTAATTCCATAAAAATTAATCATTATATATATTTATATATATCAAATTTGATTTTGTTAAATTATAAAAATAAAGGTTAATAAAAATTTAATTAGAATTTCATATCATTCTTTCAAAATATAATATTAATAAATAAGAAATTATCCATTCAAAAATACATTTCTAAAATCCTAATAATTTATTAAGGTCTGATATTTAAATATTTAAGCATTCGTAACATTTGTTTTAAATAATATTTATAATTAATTCCATTTTAAATTAAAATTATAATTTTCTAAAATTGCATTGCTCATATACCAATATTTAAACCTGCGAAGCAAAATTAAGGTTTTCCTAATAATTTAATAATTAATATTTTTTAATTAAACATCATCACATAAAAGTACAAAAAAGTATTCATACCCTTTTTTCTTATACATTAGAAGAAATGAATCAAAAGTGAATTTTGATAATTATTTTAATTATCAATGTATTAAGAAAACTACCAGCTGTATCACTTGAAATTCCTCGAAAAACTTACACTTCCAATAAACTTTTTAATTAGAATAAATTCTTTATAATTATATTTATATAAAATTTGTTTATCTTATAATATACAGTAGAAAATACAATTAAATTTAAGCTTAAGCATGCAATTTATACTTAAAAACTACAGTCTACTCTGAGTTAGAGGTGATAAAAAGTATAAGGAGATTCTTTAATTAAAACTTTGTTTACTTATTTTAGAAGATTAATTTTTATTAATTATCTTTTTTCTAATATATAATATACTTTTAAAGAAAATTAAATAACCAAGAAGGTTTCAATTTCAAAATTTTATATATTATTTCTTGAATTTTTGTAAAAATTTATAATTTAAAATTGAAGAAAGGATTTAAAGTTATATAGATTTTTTTAGGTGATAATTACAAAATCTTTAAACTTCATTTAATTCATCTAAGTAATACATAAACTTTATTATAACAAATGTTAAATTGATCTAAAGTGTTCACATTTATAATTATAAAAATTATCAGATTTTAATATATTTTCCATAAGTCATTCAACAAATTACATATTCTAAATTAACTATATATATTTGATGGCAATATAAACGACTACATTAAATTAAAATACTATATGCTATATATATTTTTTTGGTTCGCATATATGAATAAGATCAGTTGTTTTGTTTAAATCTATTCCTTTGATGCTAATGATTAAAACTAAGATTGTATAAGTTTTGTTATTATTTTAGGTTGGAATATCACAAATTTGCAAATCGCAATGTTCAGAACTTGCAACTTCGAATTCATTTTTGGTGGCCCCAAGAGTTTTGGAATGAATACTTAGATTACAAGATTTTTTAATGACCTTGATCCTCATCACATGTTGAAAATTGAAATAGAGCTATGGATGTAATTTTCATCTTTAACTTTTAGTATAGATAAATGGACTTTAGATTCAATAAACATTGAAATTGATAATACTTTGCATTTCTAAAAAGCTTATCGACATTCTGGTTTATTTCCTGATTATTGTGGTACTGGGAGCTTGTATGATGATGATGATGATGAATCTATTTATAATGATGAACTTGATTCAATATAGTTTACAATTCCTCATACAAAAAGAAGTGCTTGGGTACATATTTATACATAATATATAACTAATGAGAATGTAAAACTGAAATTTTATAAAAGTAATCATGGGGCATTAAAACATTTAAATTAAGTATAGAGAAATGTCCAGATGAATGTCTTGCATGTTCAGATAATGAATATCCAGAATGTTTAAAATGGCTCAAACATACATAATCTTTTTAATAATCTTTAATTAGTGGATTTGATTAATGGGATGAATTGGGATTTCCATTAAATATTTGGCAATCAGATTAATGCTCAAATTGTGATTATATTTATGGTATGAAATTTAGAAGACGTCTATATTTGTAAAAAAAATAATAAATCCTTTTAAGATTATTTAAATTTGATACAAATAATTTTTAAATTTGCTTAAATAATAATTAATACAAAATTATTTACAATTAAAATGGGCATATAGAAATTTTGATAGATGATTGGTAAGGTGTAATATCAGAGATACTAATTGAATCCTTATAAATGGAATTATATATAAGAGATATTGATATATATGTAGCAGATTTTGAGGAAAATTTCATCGTCTCTTTCCTTCCTGGTTGCATGTTTTTTATTTAAGAAATATGTAATTCATGTTATAAAGGTTGGAATTTTATTGAACTTAATAATATTTGTTAACCATAATGTGGTGATAAACTTATAGTAGGAGAGGAATAATGTGATGATGGAAATGATATATCTTATGATGGATGTTTTGAATGTAAATTTTAATGTGATCAAAACTGTCTTGTATGTTAATTTGGCAAATGTTTGGAATGTTTAAGCAATTTTGAATTAAATGATGATTATTAGTGTTTACCTGTTTGTGGAGATGAATTTTTAGTTCCATATACAAAAGAAAAATGTGATGATGGTAATAATTTAGAAGGTGATGGTTGCTATAATTGTAATTTTGAATGCGATTAGGGTTGTAATATTTGTTATTTAAAGAAATGTTTAGAATGTTAAAGAGGATTTCAATTAATAGATGATTAATGCAATCCCTAATGTGGAGATAAGATTGTAATTATTGGTTTTGAAGATTGTGATGATGGTAATTTAATACCATTTGATGGATGCTTTGAATGCAAATTCTAATGTTTTGAAGGTTGCATCAACTGCTATGAAGGAAAATGTAATGATGATTAATGTGAAAAAGGATATAGATTAATTGAAAATGAATGTGTTTCAATTTGTGGTGATTAATATGTCACTTTATAAGAAGAGTGTGATGATAGTAATAATATTGAATATGATGGCTGTCACAATTGTAAATACTAATGTCCTTTGAATTGTTCTGAATGTTATTAAGGTTAATGTCTTTTTTGTGATGAATAATATGAACTTATAAAAACTGGTTAATGTTAAGAAATTACAATTTTATTTGAGGAAAATGATATAGTTATGTGTTATGATGGAAATGATTTACCGAATGATGGTTGTTACAATTTTATGGTTGAATTCAATTGGGTATGTTCAGAGTATTCAATAGATATTCTTAGTTAATGTACTTTTAATGTAAATCCAAAATTAATACTTACATTCTTAAATTATACATCAGATATATAATATGTTAGGATTTAATTTAATGAATAAGTTATGACTACATCTGAAATGGTACTTAGTGATACAATAGAAATAAATGTTATAAATGTTACAAATGATAAATAACAATTAAATATATCTATTATTTAAGAAGCAGGTCCATAAATTTCAAATCCAGACTATGTTATTGCTATTTAAATATTTACATTACTTGAATTCAAACCAATACTATAGATCAAATTAAATTAATTAATTGTTAATTAATATGGAGGGTAAGTAACTCCTAATGATCATTACATTACCTTAAATAAACCCAATTATTTAGATGAAGTCTAAACTGCCTATTCTATTAAATTGCAACAAGTCAATAAATCTATTATATATACTGTTTTAGGTATTGCAATAGTATCCCTTTTGTTTGGTTTATCTGAATTATTTTTATAAATTATCAACATATTGCAGTATCAACAATATTTAAGGTACTTGAATCTAGAGTTTCCAAAAAACCTTTTGATATATTTTGAATTAGGTGATTTGTTATAGAGTTAAACTTTAATGGATTATTTTAGTATCTAAAACTTTTTTTCTTTTTTCTAAGTAGAATCTAACTTTAAATCTTCTTATGAAAAATTCGATTACTATAAACTGAATGCTGATCTCCTTGAAAATATATAGTGGTAGATATTTTAATGTGTAATTTGTTTACTTTTAATATCAATTATTAGTTTGTTGAAAAGAGTTTTTTATTATCACATATTTACAAATTCATTTGTTAAAAAAATGTCTATTTTCTCTAAATGTATTAAAAATTAATATGTTGCAAAAATATCTAATGGATTATACAATTTAGCAAAATCACTCTTAAGCATAGAATAATTTGCCACTTTTAATGGTGTCAAAAAATTGTTATTAATTAATGGATGGGATTTGCTCTTTAAAACTTTGTTATATCTTCAATCAATAGATTCTATTAACGTAAGAGATAGTATTTCAATTGTAATAAGTATATGCATCCTTATAGCTTATTTTTTAATAATAATTTCAGCTTGTAATAGAGAGACTTCAATTCAAAATGGAAGACACAAGATTTTATAAGTAAAAAGATATGAAATTTTAAATTTGTTAAGATAAACATGTTTTCTTATGATCTTAGTATTCTTATAAAAATAAGAGATTTTATAGATTATGCTAATTACATTCATTTGTATTTTGTGTCTCAAAATTGTTTATAATTATCGCAAAGTTTTTTAAATGTAAAACTTTTTAGTATAATTTATTGTTGAAGGATCCATAATATTGTTTACATTAACATCACTTGTATATGTAAATGATTATGAAATGCATATCAATTAAGAGTTAAAAATTAAATTTGGTTGGTTCCACATAAGTATTCTCTCTATTGGTCTCATTGTGCAATTGATAATGATTATATAAGAAAGGATTTGTTCTTTTTATAAGAAATACTAGTAAGGAAAAGAAAAATTCAAATAAATTCGAAAAAATTCTCATTTGATTTTAGTAGAAATAAAACATCGTGTTATAATTTAAAATGTATGAAATATTGATAAATCATATTTTGTAATCATATATATATTTTTTATTTTGTAATGATAATTATTTAATAAAGGATTAGTTAATTTTAATCTAAAAATCTGTTAAATAAGATTTTTACATTTAAAATGGATAATAAATAATACAATTATATATTATGTATGAGTTTTTATTTTCACTTATGTGTTAATCATTATTTGCAAATCACAATATATATAATATATTATTTCCTATTTTTGTGAGAGTAATGAAATATTAGATTAAAATGATTAATAATTGATTTAATATATTTTTGTATATCAATTATTGCTTTACTAAAACATATATAGTTTTTACTATTTATTATTCTTTGAATGATGAATTAAGTATTTAATATTAATTTTTTTTGATTCTAATTTGATAATTAGAAAGCATTATTTTTTATTATAATAATTATATTAAGTGGATTTAGTAGTTTTGATTTTATTTTGTATTATTTAATATATACATATATATTAAAAAGTACAATAATATTATCTTTATAAAAAAGATTTAAATGATTAAACCATAGATGATCGAAAATTTGGAATACTTTAAATGTATGTGCATGAAGGATTCTGCAGTCACTCATTTAATCTTGGATTATTAATGCCCTTAAGAAGAAAGACTAATATGTGAATAATGTTATACAGAAAAAAAATAATATGTTTTAAAAATGAAAATTGATGAGTTTAAAATATACTTAGACAATTAATAAAGAAATAAGCTTGCTACATTTGTAACTTATGTATAAAAGTAAAAAAATATTATTGAATCAATTCAACAACGCCTTCAAACTATAAAATAAAATTTTATGGAAAAAATTGATCAATTCTTCAATATAACTTTTGAATGGATTTAAAGTTTAGAAAATCAAAAAACTAATGAAGCACAATATAGCTTCTTATAAGAAATTGAACAGTTCATAGAAAATCAAAAGGTACCTAAAAAAACAAATTATGAACCTTAACATTAAACATAGATCAAAGATCTTAATACTTTTTATGTCAATAGTGTATAATCATAGTTGAATTAATTATAAGTAATATGTGAATATACAGATATTAAAAGGTATTTAAGAGATATTGATGATAATACTAAAAAAGAATGGAATTTAAATTTGGAACGTATTAGTAGTATGAAACTTTAGTAGGCTACTGTATCTTTTGCAATGACATTTAATAAAAATAACTCTCTTTTATTGATGAGTTTGGGTTCATTAATAAAAGTATTTAATTTTAATAGAGGAGAAGTAAAATTAATATAAACTCTTTCACATATTTTAAGAAACGTTACTTCTTTAAATATTTTTGAAAATGAATCTTTATTTTTATCAACTTCTCATGATTCATTCTTAAGATTAGAATCATTGAATCTTCTTTAAAGACCAAAATATCTTTAAAAATTAAAAGGACATATGGATGGAGTTCTCTGTTGCAAAATAAATCCTTAAAATACAGTTATTATTTCTGGAAGCCTAGATAAAACTATAAAATTTTGGTCATAATCATCTAATTCTTCATGGTAATGTTTTTAGACAATAAAAGAATTAAATGGGGCAGTTTATGATTTATCAATTAATCCAGAAGGAAATTAAGTAATATCATGTGGATTTTCTAATTTTGTATTAGTTATTGAATAAAAGGAACTTAATAATTGGATGGTTAAATAAATAATCTAAGTAAATCAAATTGGAAGCAAACTCACTTATATCAGTAATAATAAATTTGTGTTCTAACCAAGTATTTCTTAAATACTTGAATTCTATACTTTAAACAAGGAAACTGGAGAATATTCAATTACTTAAGAATTGTAATAGAGTTAAATAATATTTGTAAGTCAAGGGGCTTCAAGATAACCTATTATTTACAATTTTAATAAAAACTTTATCATGAACTAAGTAGGTGAAGTTTTAAACTTTATTAAATTAAATGATAATACGAAATAATTAAATTATTATTAAGCCCATTTAGATTAATTTAATGATACCTATATATAAGGTACTTTAAATAATGAAGGGGCAATATTAGCAACATGGACTAAAAAATCAAGTTGTCTCACCATTTGGAGATGTTCATTCTGATCATTATACATTAAATATAATTTTAAAGATTTAATATATTATCTTATTTCCAAGATAATCAATTTGTTTATTATTATAAATGAATGAATATCTTCTTTTAAATGCTCAATTATTGGATTTTATAAAAATATAATCATTTTTATTATAATCTGAATTTTTTAAGAATCTTATAAATTAAGAGACTTAATATTTTATAAAGACATAATAAATATATGTGATATAAATTAATTTAATCAAAAATAAATAATGATTAATTTACACTCAGATTCTAAACAAACAATCTAGTAATAAGATTAAGAAGTTTATTAATTAATTGAGAAAGAAAAGGAATTACAATAAAATAGTATAAATTTAATTCCTAGTGAAAATTATACATCTAGAGCAGTAGCTGAAGCATTATCATGTGTATTTAGTTCTAGATATGCTCCAGGTAATATTTAATATATTTTATTACAATAGGTCCTTAAGGAAGCAAATATGCACCTCAAGTAGAAAATTATGATGATATGGAAAAACTATGTCAAGATAGAGCATTGGCAGCATTTTAATTAGATTCTTAATAATGGGGAGTTAATGTATAGATGGGAAGTGGATCTACTGCTAATTTAGCTATATTTTTAGGTTTATTGGAACCAAAGGATAGAATAATGAGTATGGAATTTTAATAAGGTGGACACTTTTCTCATGGTTATTAGGTAGGAGAAAAGAAATTATCTGCTGTTAGTAAAATATTTGAAGTCCTATTTTATTAACTTAATGAAGTAAATAGTGTGATTTAATCTTTTAGAAAACATAAGAAATTGATTATGATAAAATTGAATTATTAGCTAAATCATTCAAACCAAAATTAATTGTTGCTGGTTGTTCAGCATATAGCAAATTAATCAATTATGAAAGATTTAGAAATATTTGTGATTAAGTTGGAGCTATTTTATTAGCAGATATAGCTCATGTAAGTGGTTTAATGTCTGCAGGAGTTATTCCATCTCCATTCCCTTTTGCAGATGTTGTAATGACTACTACTCATAAATCGTATAATTCTTATTTTTTTAAGATAGTTTACGAGGACCTAGAGGCAGTTTAATTTTTTATAAATTATAATATAAAAATAGAATAGATGAATCTGTTGCCCCAGGATTAGTAGCTGGAGCACATTTTCATACAATTACTGCTATTGCTGTGGCATTGAAAGAAGCTTAATCTCCATCATTTAAATAACTATAGAAGGATGTTGTAGATAATAATAAACATTTTGCAGCAGAATTTTAGAGATTAGGATTTGGTTTGATTGCAGGAGGAACTGAAAATCACTTAATTTTATTAGACTTAAGAAATTTAAATGTTGATGCTGTTAAAATGGAATATATCTTAAGTTTAATTAATATATAATGTAATAAAAACTTTGTTCCTTTTGATACAGTTCCATATCAAAGAGCATTAAGAATAGGGTATATTGTATTATTAATAAATAGATCAATACCATTGTCAGTTAGATAAGCTACTAAAGAACATTTTACAAGAATAGCTGAAATCATAAAATAATCAGTTGAATTGGTTTAGACTGTTACTGTTGACATAAAATAATGGGCAACAGAAAATTAGGATAAATGGATGCCTCTAAAATAAAAAGTTATTGAATTGGCTAATGAGTTGCCAATTCCTTGGATGTGATATTTTATATTATAGATATATGTATAAGTATATTGTATAATAATTATAATTATAATTTTAATAATATAATTAATTTTTTTGAATTCTCTTAAATATAATTAATTTACTACTTAACCTAAACTTATATTGTTTTAGATATATAATAAAATTATTAAGATTAATAATATCTAAATTTTATTGTGAAAAAATGAAAATATATATAAATTTAAATTCAATATCCTAGATTCTGCATGTCTAATAAACTATATTTGAATCACTAGATATTAATCTTATCGTAGTAAAGGCACAGCAAAATCAAGTAGCATACTTGATCTACATTATCTCTAACTTTCAATTGGAATAATCATTTTCGATAATAAGATAATCAATAAAAGTTTAGTTATCATTTATTTAATGTAAAATATTAACGCTTTTTTAAAATAATGTGACGTATTTATATTTACTTTTTAATCAATTAAATCTTTTAACTTCTGAAAATTGAATAATATCAAAAATTAATAATTAATTTTTACAGAATTTAAATCAATTATTAGAATGAATTAATAATCAAATATAATGATTAAGCCTAAATAATAATTGAATCAATATTTTGATTGAACTATTATTACAGAATCGTAGTTATAGTAATTCATAGAATGTTTAAAGAGGCATAACCTTTTAACAAAATTATTAATTAATTCTATCTTACCTTAATGATTTAGTTAAATAGTAAATAAAATACGTGAATATAATGATTATAATTATTGTAAATGAAATTTTTATAAATAATAAAGTTTTTGAAAAATTGGATAAGATAAGAAAGAAAAATAGAGAATTAATTTTATTATGAATAGTAAAATAAATTATGGAGTTTAATACTGGATATAAAGATATTGATAAAAATAACAAATTTGTATAATCGACAATAGGATTTATGAAAAATTATTTAATAATTGTAAATTATTTAATTCTATAATTTGGTTTTAATTGTATGTTTAAAATGAGTAATAAGGAATAATGATGTATTTTTAATAATGAATAATAAAGAGTAAATGATTAGTGATTTTTTTGATATAGAGAATAATTGTTAATATTTAACTATTTTCAATAATGAAAATAGTAATGAGATTGAATAATTAATTTCTCATATTAAATTAATCTATAATGAATTCTGAATTATTCGCTTGTTAATTTTGCAAGGAATATTTCTCCATTCAAAGAGAGCCATTCCTATTACCTGATTGTGGTCACAGTGTTTGTGCTGAATGCCTAACTGTAAAATTAAAAAATGGAAATTAATTTGTATGTAAAGAAGATGGGTAAATATATTTGAAATATTATTGCAGTGTACAAGTAACAAGAAATTAAATGAATGAATTCCCTAAAAACTTTGCTTTGTTATAGATAATAAAAAATAGACCAACAAACAGAAAAATCGTAATGAACAATTCTCCAAAGTAAACAGAAATTGAATAAGATTCTGATAGATGTAAGAAACATGGTGAAAAAATGGATGTTGTTTGTGTTGATCATCGTGTAAGAATTTGTGCAAAATGTGCATTATTTGGAGATCATGCAGATCATAAAGTTGTTAATTTAGAAGATGCATTAAAAAAGATTATTAGAAGAATTGATGAATTGAAAGATATGTCAGAAAGACTAGATAAAGCAGCAAATGAAACATTTGAAATGTCTTAATATTTTAATAAAATTGAATTACATTTTTAATCTAATTTGGATGTATAGATCAAGTAAGTCAATTAATTTTTTGATGAATTAACATAAATATTAGATAATAAAAGAAATAAAATAATATCAGAATGTAAAGAGAAAATAATACATTCTTAAGAACTTTATAATAAATATATAACAGAAGCTTTTATTGATGTTTAAAGAAAAGTAGAATTATGGAGAATGACTAGTAAAGATAGAATACATTATTATGAAGAATAATAAAAATCTAATTCTATTCCATTTGAATTAATTTCAATATCTTCAACTAATGAATTAATGTTAATAGGTGCATAATATTTAAAGGAATTAGAAACTACTAAATAATAAATATTACTAAAAATAGATGAACCATCTTATAGAGAAATACATTTAGAAATTAAAAGTGATTTAGAATAATTTATTAATACTCATTTAATTGTTTATTAAAAAGATCCTCAATTCAGATTAGAAAATTCATTATCAAGACTTGAATCAATAACTGAATGTTCATTACTTAAAGATATTAATAGTTCTATAATTTAAGATCCCTTAAATTAAAATTAAATGGAATTATGGATCAAATAATATTAAGAAAATTAATAATATAAATAATAATTAAATTAATAATTTTAATTATAATAATAATAATAACAATAATAATAATAATTTCTATATGTTCAATAATAGTAATAATAATTAAATTAACCATATTAATAATTATCTTATTCTAATCATTAAAGAACAGATTAACCTTTGACATCATAAGAATTAGATGATTAATATTTAAATAATTTAAAGAAATCACCTTCAGCAACTACATTAGCTACTAGAAGAACAGTATCTCCTTCACCAATTAGAAGATCAATGAAATAAAAGAAAATTAATGAAAAATTTTAACCTTTGATTGTTAAATTAAAAGGAGATAATTTAGATTAATGTGATTTTAGTTAAGCAGAATTAGGAGATGAAGGATTGTTATCTTTAATTACTATTATAAAAAAAACAAAGAATTTAAGAGTATTAAAATTGGCAAAAAATAAAATATAAGATGGAGCAGCTTAATAATTATTGACTGAATTGATAGAGAAATAAAATGAAAATGATTAGGAGAATAATTAAATATAAACTATAAATTTATCGAGTAACATGCTAACTGATAAAGTTATAGATACTATTCTTGATTTATGTAAAATAAATATAAAAAATATATTATTTTAGGTAAAAAATACTCTAAAACTATGCAGCATTAATCTTTAAATTAGATATATCTAAATCAAAATATTATAAATTTATCAAGAGTAAAGAGAAAAGTAGATGAAATAAAGAAATACGGATTGATCATAGCCATATGACTTAGTTTTAATTTGATAATCTATTATATTTATATAATATTTTTTTTAAGAGTAAATTGAATTATAATTATTATCATCTTTTTTTAGTTTTATTTTATTATTAAATTGTTGATCTAAGTTTTGTAATTTTTATTTGATCATCAACTTTTTATTCTTATAATTTTTTAATTTCTTCCATTTAAATAAATTTATCCTATTCAAATTATTAATATATTTCTCTTAATAAATTTTCAAATACAATAAACATTTTATTTTATTTCTTTATAAGTGATGTTTTTAACTATTAATTTTCTTATTTTAATTTTTGAATCCATTAAAGTACAATCTATTCAATTTATTATGTTCTAGTTTTCCAATGTAATAAACCTTGTTTCATAACATGTAATCTTTTCTCATATATAGATTTTATTGATGGAGCATAACTAATACTAAATTGTTTATTTTAATATGATTCTAATTGATTTTCAAGGTTGTCAATTTTAGTTTCCTAAAATAATGTAAACAGATACCAAAATCATTTTTTCATCAATAAGATCTTGATACATTTTAGATAAATTAGTTTATTAAGAAATTCTATTTACTTTTTTATCAATTTATTCAGTAAGTAATTCTGAACTCAAAGCTTAACACATAAATTATAACTCTTTAAATGCTTTTTCATAAAGTTTTTAGAATTCTTCTTTAGCTTTATTATGAATATTATTGTTTTAATTCTAGAGTATTTCTTTTTCTGATTATTCTTTAGCTAATCTTTATGTAAATAAATCTAATTCCCCTTTAGTCATATGTAAATCTGATTCTAATGATAGAATATATTATTTAATATCTTAAGTTAAATCTGTAGCTTATACAAATTCTTCATGTTGTTATTTTAAATCTTAAACACTTTATTATAATTATTATTATTTCAAATTATATTCTTCTGTTAATGTTGTTAATTATTATCTTAAGAATCTCTCCTATTTTGATTTTAATTCCAATTCTATTTTTAAATAGACATTCTCTCTCTCAAGAAAACTAGCTTAATCTTAACCTTATGTAGGATCTAAAATAAATAATTAAATAATACAAATTTATTTTAGAGCTTCTAATTTATTTTACAAAAAACTAATTTATTATGGTAATATATCATCCTTAGTTCCTGATTATGATATTTAATATGGTTATTCTTCTTTGCCACTTTAACCTGAATATTAATAATCATTATTATTATTATTATTAATATTATTCTTATGCTTAGAGCTTGTAATAAAATTAAGTTCCTAAACATCTTATAGATTTTTTTTAGATTCTGTTGTTTTCTTTTCTCTTCCAAAAGTATTATGCTCATTATTTCTATCAGATTACTCAGATTATGGAGTTTTTAGATTTTCTTAATCATAAATGTCTATTCCTAGATTATTTCTAATCTTTGATAGTTTCTAAGTAATTTATTCAATAAATTAAGAATCATCTGCATATAACATTTAATCATCAGCTTCAAATTAACTACTCATCTGTTAATATAATTAATATAATTTTTGATTTCTTTTTATTATTATAATATGAAATATTATTTTATAATCTCATGCTGGACCAATAGAAGCTTAAGCACCTCCTTTATCTTCAAAGTACATGTAATCCATCATAAGTGTGACAGCCATTAATAAAGCTTTATCTTCCTTTGAAGCTCCTTTAGGAAAAATCAACCTAAAATTGTCTGCGTCACCAACCATGTTTTTACAACAGTCTTTTCCTTTTTTCACTAAATGAGCTACAACCTAATTATTTAATATATAAAGATAACCTCTCCATTTGGTACTTTAATTAAGAATTCAACTTTATTACAAGAATTACATGGACATCTACACCAAAAATAAGTTTAACAACAACTTGCTTCTACAACATATTTTAAGTTATCATTAATATCTAGAATATGACAACCAATATTGCAAAAATACCAAGGATTAACTATAGTTCCTAGTTTTCTGTTTTCATCATTTTCTACATATAAAACTTCAAGACGAGGTCTATTTTTAGATAACTTAACAAAAATACCTATTAAAACACAAACATGTGCATTAATATTCTCTCTTAAACTTAAAAATTACTCTCTTTTCATCTTTTAAGAACATTTTAGCCATGGTTGGTTAGAAGTCTTTACATCCATAATTGTTGATTTTCATTTCAAAAGGTCTTGTATTACCTCTATAGATAAATTAATAAAAGGAACTTACGGAAGACAAATACGAGCACAAGTAGATGATTTCTCTTTGCATTTAAATAATGCTTTCTACTTCTTCTTCTTCCCTTAATCATTTGCTGCATAAACCTTATATACATTTGGAGTTTCAAAACCTAAAAATTGATATATCTTATACCTGTGATTGCTTCAAATAATTCAAAATTCTATTTTATGAAGATACCTTCTTGTTGACCCAAAATGTCCAAACAACTATTAGATATTGCTTGGATCAAATGTTGTGCCTATTCATTCATCTAAACTATCATGGCCTATCCCATGCTTCCAATCTGATTTTAAACTACTTACATAGTTAGAAGTCAAGTAATATGTTATGAAAATAGTTAATATTAATGTGTATTCATCAATAACAGTTTCATATAAATAATGTGAATTAAAATAACCAATCTTTTGAAATTTCAAAAATAATAATCAAATTACATATAAACAATTTCCCTTGCTTCTTCTTGTAATAAATCTCAATTAAATTCCATATCAAATATTTGCATATGTTTTATTTAGGAGCAAATAATCCAATATCTCTTCATAACAATCAACTAAAACATAAATACAATATAAGTACCTTTGATTTCAAGTTTAAAGTATATTCAAACAATGCAATCATTTTTTACTTTGAGATAAAATTGAATCTCATATTCTTCAACTTCTTTAATTGAAAAGGCGTTTTTTCATTTTGATTTTCTTTGATACTAAATTGTAAATCTATACTATAATATTCACATCAAAAACCTTAGTCATTATTCTATTGATATTTCTTGAATATTGAAAATGAAAACTATTAAGAGTGATAATCAAATTCTAATAGTTTTTGTAAATAAAATTACAGAATTTATATTAACTATCACCTTTGATACTCTTCTGAGTCTTTACAAGTTTATTGCTATTAAAAATACTCTAATTTACCTTCTATTTATCCCAAAAAATAGTTCTTTATAATATAGTTTGTGTATGTATTACTTCTAAGATTTTCAACTTTTTCAGACTGGTCTTAATCAGATACAAAAGAATCAAATTCATTAGTTGAATTTTGATTATAAATATTCTTAAATTTATATTATATAAAAATTTTATCCTAAATTGAATTGGATTGAAACTTTAATATATTAGAAAAGGAATGTAAATACGCTATTAGATATACTAATATAATCTAATAAAAAGAAAAATCATGAATAATTTATATCAATATTGTTATTGATAGGAATCTTCCAGAAATTTTAAGATTGATACTCTTCTTCATCAACAGGAGGGAAATATAGATGGATATTCTTATTCATCTCAACATATGTAGTAATTTCATCAGTATTATATTTATGAATATTGCTTTCAGGATCTATTATGAATATTCGACTTATATCTACATTAACTGCTTAATAAGCTGTAGAATCCTAATATATAAATATTATAATACTGTTATTCTATTTCCAAATCCACAATAAAATGGACTTTCTCCAATGAATAAATTTCTTATTTCTTTTAATGCTGTAATTTTGAATAATTCAGGAGTTCTGTCAATTACTTCTCTCTTAAATGCCGGAAACAAACTATCTGGACTCAAAATTACAGGTCCTTTAGGTAATTTAGTATTTTGCTATTGTAGATTTTAAATAAAATCTTTAGTTTGATCTGCTTAACCTATTGCTCTTGCAGTTAAATAGATAATATTATATCCCATAGATTGTATATTTTAATAAAGATTAGCTACTCCATCATGATTCCAATCAGTTCCTAATTTTGGCATTAATTAACCTAATATATCTGATTTAGTTATTGTTCCATCAATATCTGATATGACCAATTTAGTTTTTTAATCATATAAGTAAATAGTTCCATGTAATTCAACAATATCATTCTTTTTAGGTATACATAATCTGTATGTAATTTTATTAGCACCTTTTTATAATCCTAATTATTTTAAAATTGATGAATGAGGTTTAAGTATTGGTCTTAATGATTTTCTTCTTTTTTAGATAGAAGTTGTACTAAATGTATCAACAGTATCCTCACTCATTTTTCTAAGTCTATCTTAAGATTTAAATTATTGATGTTATTTTTAACTCTACTCATCAGTATTTAATCTTTAAGTATTATTATTTTATTCAATTTAATCTGATCCTTTTTTCTTACCAAAGAGAACACTATACCATTATTATTATTATTATTATTATTATTATTATTATGTATTCTACTTCTTTTATTAATCTAAACTATCAATAACTATATCTTAATTATAGACTTGTTTAGCTAATAATTATATTATTCCAGCTTCTCTACTAAAGAATTTATCTCCTATTTTAAAAACAAGATCTTTATGATTTATTATTTTAATTGAATCTTTCTCAAATATTGAAAAGGAAACTTTGTGTTATTCAAATAGTTGCAATTTTTAAGTTTATGTTAAATTTTATTATTAAATTTAATATTGACCACATAGAGAAAGTTCCATAACTGATTAACGTGGAGATAAAGTCTCTCTATCACTACAAGTAATATTGTCTTTCTCAAAATCAATTGTTTAGATATGTTTTTCTAATTATTACTATTGAAATTATTTTTGTAATTATATTTATGATAATCCCTAATATGATGATAATATAATTACTAAAGATGACGTATCTACTTATTAAAATTCTTTAAGGTTATTTTGTGTTTCAATCTTAACTCCATCATCTTTTTTTTAATTAGACCCTTTACCCCAAAATTTTAAAGTTTGAAGCCAATTACTATTTTTCTTATCACTATTGAATAAATCATCAGGCTTTTTATAATAATGTGGTTATCTAAAGTTTGATGCTTCATCAAAGAGTCTAAATTGTTTAGATTTGTAATTATACGAATTTTTCTCAGAAAATGTATCATCAGATTAATAACCTGAAGAATAAGTACTTTTTTCAAAGTATGCTGAACCTTCTTTTCCTAATCTCATTTTCACATTAGTTAATTTTCCATTTACAATAATATCAACTTAATAATCTTAACCATTATATTTTCCAAATCTAACATGAAATGGAGTAGATTTCAATGATCCATTATGTTATTAAACAACAATTATATCAATACATCCACTTAGATAATACTAAAAAAGATTTGATTTAGATGATTTACTTGTCTTGGATCAAATTTGGATATAATCTTTTAAGTTATAGAGGTCATTATTATTAATAATATATATATTAATCATTTTTAATCTTTTTTCTTTTTTTATTTTAAGAATTCTTTTCTTAAAGCTGCATCATTTCTTTATAATTATTCTAACTTTTCTTTTTCAACTTATGCCTTATTCATATCACCAGCAATCATACAAATTCTATCGGTTCTCTTTGTATGATCTGATTCCAAATTTGATTTCAATATTTACATTGCAAATGGTTTAATTACTCTAGCATCCCAATATCTAATTCCATCAAAATCAGCAAAACCCATATAACTTCCAAATAATTTACTAAGCACTGTTTTTCCTTATTTAATTTCACCTTCAAAATAATCTGTTGGTTTATTCTTCACTTTTCCCAATTAAACAATACAATTTAAATCTAAATATATAATATTTAATACTATTAGCTTCATCTATAAACGAAAGTGCTCCTTAAGATTCATTTTTCATTGTTCCAAAAAATGTACCTGAGTAATGTTCAGATGAAAAAGTACAAACTATCTTTTGATCTGGAAATTAAATTGTTCTTTTTCCATGATTTAAAATTGTCAATGAATTTAAACCTGCTTTTGCTTCATAAAGAGAATATCCGAAAAATTTATAAGATTTCTTTGGTCCATAAACAAGAAAATAAGATAAAGGAGGATGATGAGATATCTATAATAATAGTTATTTTTAATTTACTTATTCACAATATAGTTAAGTACCATCTTCATAGCCACCTTCAAAGGTTTCACCTAAGATGGGATTGAGAGGTTTAAGAAATGAATTAGCCTAAATGTAATTAGATATGAGAGCAACTATACTAAGTTTCATTCTTTCTAATGGCTTTTATAGAGATGCTGCCTTATTCATATACAAAGGAAAGAGAATTGTTTACATAAATGTTTTTTCTAAGGCTGATTTAGGTATCATAGCTTTAATCTAAAATAATAAAAAGAAATCAAATTACAGGAAATGAAACTGTTGTTAAATTGAAATTTCCACTAAGCAATTTCTGACCTACTTATTTTATCATATTCTTTCCAACACTTCTTGCTAATTCAATCATTTTTTCATCTTAACAAGCTGTACCTCCTTTTTTATGAGCCGATGATACTCTATATTCATCCTTATAATCAACTTTCTTAAAATTTAATGCATAATTCATAATTGTATTATAATCTCTATGATTACAATGTTCTCCTTCATCAAATACAATTGAAACTTTAACAAGATCTATTTCATCTGAATCTTCTTCTTGATTTTATTCTGTTTTACTAGGTTTATGCTAAAGTAATTATTATTCATTTTTAACTTCTACTATTATTTACTATTACTCTTCATATTATATCTATCTTGTATTATTAATCATTTAATTTTCAAATACTTCTTATTTATTATTATTACAATGATCATTTCCATTGATATCACAATTTTCATTCTTATCATTATCTCTTTATTTTTATTCATTTAATTCATTTGCATAATTAGCAACAGATTCAAATCCATTCCCTTAAAATTCACTAGTAAATTACACTTTTGGACTCGAATCGGTGACACCATTGACTTATCTCTTCATATGAACTAAACAAAACCATCATCTAAAGTCTTACCTTTAATACTCTTAGCTATTTGTACACCTGATCCATTTCCAATACTTTCATCACTAATATCATCAAATTTAAATGAATTCTATTTTTAGGCACTTCCTTTATTTGGTGATGGTGAAGTATTCATTATGAAAACTTAAGTTTGTTATTTACTTACAATAATGAATTCTTTAGTTTCATCATCTTAATTATTCAATCTTTTAAAATTTTTCTTATAAAATTCAAGAGCATTATTTGATAACAATTTATCTCCATCTAAATCATTTTAATCATCAACATATTATGCAGAAAACATACTACCTTATATTAAAGCATAATCTGCCACATTTAATTTTGTTGTATGAATGTATATTTTTACATTGTCATTTTTAGCTATTTCTATATAATCATTTTAATTGAATTCAGCAATATCAGTTTTTAATTTCAATAATTAACCTTTACCTGATGGTAACACTTTCTTTTTAGAAAATTTAACCAATTTAAATATAGCTTAATGTAAAACTTTAGGATTTCTAATAATTATATTAAAATAGATTACTAAAAATTATCAAATAATATTATATCTATAGTTTATGTTGATGGATTAAATATTATTCCTAAAATTTCATGTTATTTATAGAATGATCCTATTATACCTCCCAGTAATTCAATATTACTTATTAATAAATTAAATCCATTATCATTTTTTAACAAATAATTATTATTGTTGTTTATTGACCAATCATTTAAAGAAACTACAATTCCTGTTGTTAATTTAAATTCATTCCCATCAATCTTTACAAGTCCTATTCCCAAAAGAGCATAAAATGCTTTTACATTTTACATTTTTGAAGAGAAACAAATCTGTAAATATCCTAAAATCTTATCATAATTTTCGTTTTCATCAATCATCAATTTAAATACTCTTCCTTTAGCTGTTCTCACATATATCACTGACTAAAATTATAATCTTTTATATTACTTTCTAATCATTAGCTTATTAATAATTTTTTTTCTTTCTTAAAGATTATTCACATTTTTATATATCAACTTCATCTCTCACAAAATCTCCCTTGTTCAAAGAATAATAATTATTATAACTATTAGATTGTTGAGTCTTGTAACATAATAGTCTACCCTTTTTTAAATCAAATGAGAAGTAATAATTATAAAGAGTTCCCCATTTTATATATGATGCTGCACCTAATTTTCTATCAATTTTTATCGCCTTTCATTATTACAAACATCATATACTTAAGATTTTGGAAATGGAGCCTACTTTATATCCTCATCAT